CTTCCTCCTCTGGTCTGCCAACTCCATTCTTCCATGTGGCAAGACCACAAATTCAGAACATTTGACATCTGACAGGTTGGGAGTTATATTTGTACTATTTCAATATGACTAATGTTTTTAGGTTCTCTGAAATTTCTTCATATCCTTTCAATGACCATTCTTTGCAGTTTAAGTAATTTTTTTCCTGCTTGAAAAGTAACTGATGTCTAACAGAAATATCCAAAATTTCCAGAGGCAGTAGAAGAGCCATAAGTAGTGGTGATCCATCATAAGACACATTGCTTTAAAAAAAAAAAAATAAAAAGGCATATGAACAATTTTCCCTTTACTAAGTTTTCCATATTGTAAGAAATAAACTTCTTTTGTCTGGTTCATCCTAAAGTAACACACTAGACAATAGCTGAACAAATATATTTGTTGAACAAATATATTGATTCATTCGTAATGGACATTGATTGGGCATCAGCTCAATAGCTATTGGTCCCCGTCTTATAAACTATGAGTTTTAGAAGTTAACGAGACATGTTCACTGTCTGTACGGGGTTGCCACAAGAAACGGAGATATTTGTCTTAGCAGTATCTAGTACAAGGAGTAAAAACTCGCTCAACTCCTAAGAGAAAAGAGGAATAGAGGGGTGAAGGGGTATTTCATGATTAAAGATGTCAAGGGCAGCTAGATCGTCCCAATAACTGAAAACAGAAAATAGAGGACAAAGAACTACAGCAAGATCTCCCCCATGACCAGTTTTGTTTCTTGGTCTCTTTAATCCCTTTTCTCAGAATAACTTTTTTCTGCAATTATACAGAAATCTGTAGGTTGTCTTCTTCTGTATTTATTAAATAAAATATTTTCCAAAGTGAATGCAAATTCCTGGTTCATGTGACCCAAACAGTCTAGAACCCCTACATTTATCTGAAGATAAATACCGGGGAGAAAGAGTCCCACCCAGCTTGGATCAGACGGCTGCCTCAGTCACTGCAAGGCTGCGTCTGTGTCTACTCAGTGACCTCTAGAGGGGATCGAGAAAGCCTCACAGGCTGAGCAGGCAAGTTATTTGGAATATCTGTCATACAACAAGAAAATAAATAAAAACAGTCAACTCTGACAGAGATAGAAATATTAAAATAAACTGTATTGCAGCAATGGATTGAGGTAGGGAGCCCAGAGCGGTTTTGTTTTTGTCTTTCCATTTTGTTTGTGTTTAAGTTAGAAATATCTTTTTTTTTGAGACATCCCATATGACTCAGTTCCTAGAGCCCTGGGGCAGGCCAGGTTCAAGGTATCCTGAACTTCTGCCGGGTAGGTCTTAGGTTAATATCGTAACCCTGGGGTCACTGGTTCCTTCATTTCAAGTTCTCTAGGACTTCTACAGAATTTCACATTCATAACCTTTTTCGGCCTTAGGAACTGTTGAGGAATTCATGTCAGTGCAGTAACTGTTTGCTAGGAATTTACTATCACTAGGGATGGAATATCAGACTCTTGTGACAGGAAAGAAAAAAAAAAGAATTTCAGAGACCCAACATTTAAAGCCAGTAGTACAAAAGTATCTATGGGATTAGCAAGGAAAATGGGAGAGATAGACTGGTGAATAGGTGAGTTTGGCCTAAGCATAGTTTTGTCCAGAGAAAAATAGTGAAAGAGAATATCAAACTAGAATACAGGTTGGCACTCAACCAGGATCTTAAATGCCCAATTTATCATACAGGTAGATGCACTTGTTCTATAGATCGTGTGTATTAATTAATTAATTTATTATATTTTAGTACAGGGTCTACAGGGTCTCTACAGGATCTACAGGGTCTCTATGATTGGACTCATAGTAATCCTCATGTTTTCAGCCTCCCAAGGGCTGGGGTTACAGGTGCACACCACCATGCCCAGTCTCAGTCGCTATCTCAGTGCACAGGGATCAAACCCCGGTCCCTGCATCTGCCTAAGCAGGTGCTTTATTCCGCTGAGCTATTTGGCCAGCCCTCAAGCATGTATTTTCGAAAGAAAGTTGTGACTACAAGTGTAAAGGATAGGCTGGAGGTAGATCACCTATGAGACGGGATCGCAGTGCATGATGGGAAGAGAGCAGAAGACGGCGCACAGACAACCACGGGAAGGATGAAGCAGCTGCCGTGGCAGCAGGAAGGACAGCGGCAGCCCTGCGGAGGGAAGCAGAGGCTGTGGCTTAGGGAACTGTCGCTGAGGGAGAAGAGCAGGCCACAAAGATAGAAGAGATCCCAAGGGAACACTGGGAAAAGTCCTCTGACCCTTCTTCCCCAAGGACTCTAGCCTGGCGCTAGAAGCAGGCACAACACAGACCTCCTTCCTGTCCTGAGAGGTGTCAGGGTGCCCGCCGGGTGCCTCAAGGCTCCGAGGGCCCAGCCATCTCCAACCTACTTTCCTAAGAGCACTGAAGCATTATGTGCGCTTTTCATTATCTTTCATTTCTTACTTGTCAGGAAGAAAAAATGACGAATATTGGTCACCTTGAGGCATGGTGGGGTTGGGGGCAGAGTAGACCAAAAATGTTACTACTGCAAAGTAGGAGAAGTATTGATATGGTTTCGGGTTTCAGGTTTCAACTAGACTTGAAGGCACTACCGCTTGTTGAGTTTGGGGGTAGGACCCGAGGATTGTCCCAAACTTATCTCTCATTTTTCCACCCACCTACTTAAGTGATACCACATTACTCCATGATTCAACCAGAATTACACATCACAAGAGCCAGATCGCCAGAAGCAGGTGTGGGGATCAAACTGTTTATTCTTTACAGGCAGGTATTAGAAAAATTGGGGGAAAAAATGTAGTAGAAGAAGCACACTTTTCCCATGGCTTGTTTTATATTAGGAATGCAAGTATTTTTCATCAAATGTCTGACATATTAACATATAATAGGGGGCCAGGGAGATAGCTCAGTGGCCTAAGCACCTGCCTGGCAAGCACAAGGAACCAGGTTCTATCCCTGCTGCCTCATGTCATGCTGGCCGCAGAACCCCAGGTGCACTGTGCTGGCCACCAAAACTGGGCGTGGTGGTGCGTTCTGTAATTGCAGCACTGTGGAGGCTGAAGCAGGAGGATCACAATGAGGCCAAGCTGCGTAGCAAGACCCTACACCAAACACATAAATATTTTTTTTAATGTAATACGCTTGTTACTACGTAAGCGTTAGAAAATGAGCTGCTTAAATTTCTCAGTGGTAAACATCAATAGAAACATTCCACAGGCACGAAAGTCCTTCGGTAGTCTGAGAGTTGTACGGATCCCTGAGACCAGAGCTGAGAAGCCCTGCCTTAACTTTGCCCATTTCCTGCGCTCCGCATGGTGTCAGCTCCTTGCTCCCAGGCCGAATGAGGCAGAGCGATGTCAAACTCTCCTGTCGCCGGAATCCTTTACATGTTTAAATTCATATGAGGCACAGGTTTGCTCTTTTGTCCCTCAAATTTTGTCTTGCTCCTAAAAAATACAGCTCCTGATCTCTTCTTATGTCCCTCCTGGTTGTGTAACAGTTAATCTGTCCAGTTTTGAGAACAAATGCAAGAAAGGGCTCATTTTTCTCTCCAGTGTCCAGAGACAAAGCACATTAAGGAACTATTCTGTTTCCCAAACACGGGGCTGTTCCAAACACTCCCATTTCAGTGAGTCAGATGGAAACAGACAGATATTCATCTCCCAGAAACCTGGCTCTCGTCCCACGAGAAATCCTTGCTGAGCTGAGGTCATGTGTCAGGGCCAGCAGGCGGCCTCTCAGGTGGAACAGTGTTTAGTAAGAAGGCAGGTACCACAGACGGGCCTGGAAAAGTACCTCCAAGGGTTGTTGGAGTTCCCCAAACGTTAGTAAGTGATACATCAGAACACAGGAAAGACCTGCGGCTATGTACTTTGGACTCTAGGGTGTTGAATTTAGACTCCTGACTACAAGCCGTGACACTGGATAGATGTCAGTTTAATACTTTAAGATATCAAGACTTCAATCCTACATATGGCTACATTTTTCTAAAAAAATCATTTGGCTTTTCCTAATTATTAAGTGGCTCTCACCTGGAGCCAGGTGAGCTAGGGACAGTTTCCCAGGTACCTGTCCTGCTAGGAGCAGTGCTCTGTGACATTCAGGAGGGCCTGGGGATCCTGATCATGTGAATCACTCTTGCAACTGAGAACATAGAGATGGAGTTCACTGCAAGGGGCCGCTGTATTCAGCAACGTGCAGGGAGTATGTGGGTGAACTTTCAGAGGAAAAATCAGATTTAGAAAAACAATGAAAAGTGAACTTTCTATTTCTTGGGTTTGTACCTCAGCTCTCTCAGATACA